CAGGGACCGCGGTTCAATCCCCCAGCACCACATGCCAGCGACACACACACACACACACACACACACACACACACACACAAATAAATAAATAAAAATTAAATTTAAAAAAAGTAAAAATACTTCCAATGTTCTTAACTATTCTAAACTCGTAAACCAAGGGGAGATAGCTCAGTAGAATAAGTGCTTGCCCGGCAAGCACAAGGACCTGAGTTCAATCCCTAGTTCCGCAAAAGGAAAAAAAAAACTTGTAAACCTATGGAACTTTAACACCATACGTATACTGTAAGGTACTGTAAAGTCCCGCGATATAGCGAAAATCCATGATAAATAATTCAATTAATATTTTTTGAAAACCCACGAAACAAGTCTGCAAAACTTAAACTGCAAAATAGCAAAGGACTATTGTATAGCAAATACAGATGAACAAATTAAAAATTAAAAATAAATAAACTGGGCATAGTGTTGCAAGCAGCCAAATTAGATAGAAATACAGGCAGTCAGACAGCTCTAGGCCCTTGAAGGAGACAACACAGAAGACAAGATACCTTACAGCTGTGGGAGGGATGGATGCTCCCGCGTGGGCCACACCTAAAAGACCAAAGATCAAACAAATGCTGACCTCCCTAAAGATTGGCATCTGATTGATCCCCTCATCCTCAAGCCAAACCAGACCTGACCTGAAGGCATCCTGAGCAGCAAAAAAAAAAAAAAAAAAAAAATCCTTTAGCAATGTGTAATAAAAGGGTCAAGCTTGGAATGCCTGTCATTCTGGTGTTCTAAATACATACTTCTTGTCATGACATACCAATTATTACCATACTATCTCACAAGTTAAGGTTTTTGTTTGTTTTTTTTTTAAATGGGTAATAAATGAAAAAAAGACAGGAGAAAAAGAAAGAAAAGGTCACAGGACTGTCCTGCTACAATGCTGTATATGGTTAGATTTCTAAATTTCTGTGTAGGGGCCGGGGAGATGGCTCAGTGGAATAAGCGCCCCGGCCCCGAAAAAAGTTTTAAAAATAGGGCTGGTGAGGTAGCTCAGTGGGGCCAGGAAGATAGCTCAGTAGAATAAGGGTTTGCCTGGCAAGCACAGGGTCCTGAGTTTAATCCCCGGTACCACACAAAAAAACAAACAAACAAAAACGGGGCGGGGGAGATGGCTCAAGAGAATAAGTGCTTCCCTGGCAGGCACAAGGGCCTGAGTTCAATCCCCCGTTCCACCAAACAAAAAAAAAAAAAGTGAGGCAACACACACCTAGAAGCTGAGGCAGGAGGATTTCAAGCTCAAAGCCAGCCTGGGCAACCTAGCAAGACCTTGACACTTGAAACAAAATAAAGGGGCTGGGGAGATGGCTCAGTAGAATAAGTACTTGCTTGGCAAGTGCAAGGGCCTGAGTTCAATCCCTGGTGGTGGTGGGGGAGGCACATTTAAAATCAGAAATCCAGGAAGTTCCCTGCGGGATGAGGGACTCTTTCTCTCCCAAGCCTTTAGAGTCACCTCCCTGTCCTCTTGTCCCCTAGCCAAGCCCCATGGGAAGCAGCCATCCGTAATTACGGGAATGGAAGGCTCATCTTTGAGCCGCTACATTACGAAACAGGGCCAGTCTGCGAGGGGATCACGATGAACCCCGCAAGCATCTCGAGTCACAGGAGGCTGAGGAAAAGGCCCCGGGTATGTGGGTCGCTGCTGTGTCCAAGGACCGTCCAGAACAGGCGCTCTGGAGTGCCCTCCGGGGTCTGGGGGCCGGGACGGGGACCTGGAATTAACTGCTCACGGACGGGTGTGGAGTATCTTTTAGGGTGTCAAGCATGTTCTGTGAGGTGTGACTGCACAGTTCTGTGGATACGCTACAAACCACGGCACTGTACACTTGAAAGCGGTGACTCATACGGCTTTTGCATAGTGTCCAACACACGTGCCTTTCAAGTGTATTCGTCCAACTTAAATCGCTTACACGTTAAATATGATTGCCTCGGCAGGAAAGGAAGCAGCGCGGCGTGCGTGTGCGGGGGCTCGGCTCGCAGAAGGTGGGGAGCGGTCCACACCAGCAGCCGAGGGACCAGCAGCGCCGGTCTCCTTTCACAAGTCAGGAAGTTTAGGCTCTGTACGCAGCCGGGCAGGGGAAACAACGGATTTCATCCCCAGCAGCACGGGACTGGGGTAGGACGGCTGAAACTAAGCGCGGAAGCCCCAGTGCTAACAAAACCTTGCCAGGAATTCTCCCACAGCAGACGGAAACAATGCAGAATATCCAAACACGCTGGAGTGCCCAGTGGGCGACAAAACCACAACCACAACCAGACACCGCGGCCCGCCAAAGGAAACCTAAAGTTGATCCCCAGAGCCCCGCAGACCCCTCCCCGCTCACGCCCCTCGCTGCAACGACGGGAGCGAACACGAGCCTGAATATTGCAAGCATCGTTTGTGTGCTATTTGCTTCTTCGATGTAATCGCAGTGTTTAACAAAGAAATTAAACTCGGACGTACAAAAATACAAAACAGCAAAACCTGAGTTTCTGACCAGAAAGACGTTTAGACGCCAGCCATCCAGTCCTCCTCCTCGCCCCCTAACGGTGACGTAAGAAGGCGAGAGAGTTCTCAGCTACTTCCGGAATCCGGAGCACTGGGAGGACTCTTATTTGCATACCCACAGTGCACTGCGCATATCACAAACTTAAATTTGCAAAATTAAAATATTTTCTAAGATGCATATTTGGCATATGACACTTTTAGTCGCAGAATCATTTGAAAATTTTTTATTTGTGTAATATTCTGGCTGTCAAGCAGCTACCATCAGTACGATAGGATATTATGTTACTCGACCTGGGCGTTAAAACGATAAAGACCATACTCTGGTTTCTCTTCAGATCGTATAAATCTTTCGCCTTTTACTAAAGATTTCCGTGGAGAGGAACAACTCTGAGTCTTAAGCCAATTTTTTGAGGCCTTGTTTTATCAAGGCTATATATTTTGTGCAAAAAAAGATAGGATCGCATGATGTACTGATCATGTGTGGTTTTTAGAGTTCAGTGTTAATTATGTTATGCAGTGGTTTTACACTTAAATGTTTGTATTATTTCCGTGAGGTGTGTAAATTTTATTTTTGCCTATGATGTGTATTTGTTGCTGAAATGTCTGTTAAATTATTTTTAAAGTGTACGATCAGTGTGTGCTTTGTGCGTAAAAGGTGCGTGTAAATATGTACTTCTAGGGCCAGGGAGAACACACTTCGATAGATTAAGCACTTTCCGGACAAGTAAAGCTCTTGAGTTCAATTCCTGCTAGACAAGTATATATATACACACAGGCTACTAAATTCTACATACTCATAAAAAGGAATAAACCCACATGTGCTGCGGGTGTAACGCAGCGCAGCACCTTAACCCTGAGCTACATCTCAAACCTTTGAACAGATTTCACTATGCTGTCCGGGCTTGACGTTTACAACCTCGTGAGTCTCAAACGTTGTTTATTCCCCAGTGTGCCGCTGATAAGATAGAGACAGCAACGAGGGGCATTGGCGTCGGGCAGTGATATGAGGTAAATGTGAACGGTCTGCACCCAGGGTCTCACGCTGGACTTGAACTCCCAAGACCTCCTGCCTCCGCTTCCCGAGTGCTGATTATGCTGTATGTCACCACTCCCAGCAATTTAAGTTTTTACCAGTTAGTTTGAGTACATAATATATCCCCGGGGTGGGAAATATGGAAGCCACTGTCAACTCTGATGACTTTTGGCATATGGTCTTGGCTGACCTGGTAACCTCCCGTGCAACCTACCCACGGGTGGGGGTGGGAGGCTGAGAGGGCCAGGGAGAGGTCATGGGTGCGCCATCTCCGCAGCCATCCCTTTCTTTCTCCTTTATTTATTTATTTATTTATGTGTTTGGTACACCGTCGTAGTGATCCTCCAGTTTTTAGTCTCCCCAGCTCTGGGATTACAGGCGTGTGCCACCATGCCAGGTCCCAGTGGCTGGCTCAGCGTGCCCGAAGGCAGGGCCAGCGTGGCATGTGGTGCTGGGATCAAACACAGCCCCTGTGTTTGCCTAAGCGGGCGCTTAGTCTGCTGAGCTATAGCTATCTTGCCGCCCCCTCCCTCTTTTTAATCTTCTTTTCACCTGTCTTCGATTTATTTCCCAGAAACCTCTCTAGCAACGTTAGTTTTTAACTCCTCCTAGTCAGGCTTAGCCAGGAGACCTAAGGAGGTCCCTATTTTGTTTTCTTATCTACAGACTCCTGTCCCTACCAAAGGACACTAGGAGTGCTGGAGGCAAAGGCCAGGCGGGTCTTCCCAGCAGGTTTAGGGGAGAAGAAAGCCAGCCCTATGAGAGGAAATCACCCCAGACCCCTTGCAGACGGCTGGTGCGAGAGTGAAGACTTACAGAACAGACACTAGGATCAAGCAGGGGGTTTGGGGAGATTCACAGCTAGTGCCTGAAGGCCCCGGAAATCAGCGCTCCCGATCACCACGAATGGGCATGAATGGATGTGCACTGCAGTACTGGAAACTGGAAACATTAAGAAAGTATCAGGGGCCAGGGAGATGGCTCAGTAAAGTAAGTGCTTCCCTGGCAAGCGCAAGCGCAAGCGCAAGGGCCTGAGTTCATGGTTCCTCAAAAAAACCGGGTGTGGTGGTACACACCTATAATCCCAGCACTCAGGAGGTTGAACCAGGAGGATCTCTCTGTGAATTCGAGACCGACCCCAGCCAGGGGCTGCAAAAGTGAGCACAGGGCCAGCCTGAACTGCATAGTGAGAACTTGTTTCAAAAAAGAAGAAGAAGAAGGAGAGAGAGAGAGAGAGAGAGA